AGCATTAAGGTCACACACCTCAAATAAGGAAATAAGGCTATGGCCAAGTGGCCAAGTGAGTAACGTGCCTATTTTATACAGAAATATTCCAAATTCCAAATTCAATCAGGTTCAAAATCAGGATCAAGCTCATTCTATGCTAAACGAGAAAACTTGGGATAGATGTTGCCAAGCCACGGCATGTCCTGATGAAGTACCGTGTCTATCCACTAACAGCTATTTTCTGTTGAATATGAGAAGAAGCTTCCGGAAATAGTTTTCACAAATAAAATTGAATGTGATCCTATAAATCCTAGCTGAACGTATAAAGTGTGCTGATCCCTAAGCCAATCAATGGTTCATTTCAAGTTGACAAAATGCAGTCCACTCTTAAGAGGAGATTGCTTCGGAAATAGCCAGTAAAGTCAATTGACAGCTGGTCAAGAGGAATCCATCATTATTTTCGTTAGGATCCACCTTCGAATCTCTTCACCAAGCACTTTCGCTCACAATTGAAGTAAGTTCAAGGATCTGAAAGTGATTGTAAATGGCCCTCCTGTACTGATCAAGGCAACAGGTTGACGATTCCTGCCACATGTCAGACGAAAGATCAGCATGTATTTGTCGGGGTGTACCGAGGACTTATTTGCACAAGTCTACTATCACAACTTCAAGGTGATCCTCCTTCGACTTGTGTTGAGGCCAAGTTACGAATCTCTTTCACTCGTCTTTTCCAGCGACATGCAACGCACGCCAGAATTTCCTCATAATCGCCTCTCCTTACCCCCCATGCAAATAACAGTTTCGGTACATATCTGACAATGAGTGGCGACTGAGTGTCATGTTAACAAAATGCTCGAAGTGATCAAGAGAGCAGTAAGAGAGCGATGAAAACAGCAGGTTGCCTGAATGTTGTCTCATCCACAGCATTTCAATGAATTTGGCCTAGCCTTATCCCCCATAAAGTCAGACCGGAATTCCTGCCTCGTCTGTTGCCCATCAGCCGCAACAAATTGCCACTCGGCCACACAGTTTCAACGCATTTCCAATCTCTTTGGGGCTATTGATAAGATCAGAGCAAGGTTGAAACTCCTAGGTAACCTGGAATAGACATCATTTTGGGAGGCGAAACAAAGTAAAACCCAATGATCGTAAGCAGCCCAACAACCAAGTCAAGGATCTTCAAACTGATCTCTGGTGACCATCGTTCCCATAAAGTGAAAGCAATACAAGAAACGCTTGCATGTCATTTTTATGCATTACTTAAAATTTGATGGGATTTGAACTTTACTTGATTTGAACTTACTAAAATATTTAATCCTTTCATATAATAAAAAGTGGGTTTATAAATGTCAATGGAATCTTGGTCTTCGTGGCTCAAAGCTATAAGCGAATATATTTGAGAAAAAGGTGCGTTGAAAGAAGGATAGGCCTGACGGATCGTCATACATGAAAGGTCACATGAACATCAAAACGTCTTCAAAGGTGTAAGCATCCAGAAAGCAGGAGTGGCCGAATATATGCCAAATACAGGATGCCAGATAGGGTAGCTTAATATATGAAGACTTCATAGCTGAGCGGAGGAATATGTTTTGCTATCCTTAATTTCGTGTGGAAGTGACTGATAAGGAGATCCCCGTGGGTAGATCTCACCAGAATACAGAGACTTATTTCCGTTAGGAGGTAAATATAAATTAATAAAATTACAAATATTCTGAATGGACGAATGAGTGTAAGAAAGTGAGCATAAGCGGTGAATCTTCT